CTCCTGGCCTCATCCCACAGCTAGTATGAGGCAAAGCCAGAAGTCAAGGTCAAGCCTGTGGTGAGAACAAAACTCATGTTCTTTATTCCTTTCTGCCTTATTATTTTCCCACCAGTTAGCCTGAAAACTGCAAACAGCTTTTAAATTTTAAATATAAAGCATGGTTAATCTATGAAATTTAAAAACCCATACAGAAAAGTAGGAGTCATCATCCTTCCTATTATTATGCTTTTGTCATCTTGGTCAAGTTACCTAACAGCTCAGAGCCTGGTTTCCTCCTTTAATTAAGGAGAATAAAAACAGGACTTGCTGCCTAGGAATATTTTGAGAATTAATGAGCTAATGCATTTAAAGGGCATAAGTTGTGTCCTATACAATGCAAACACGCAGCAGAATGACCCAATCATTATTATTTTTATTAGAGGAAATAATGGTTGATCCTCCTGGTAAACTTTTAAAGCCATTAAGAGTATAAACACTTTTCATTTGTAATAGTGAAAAGTGTCAACAACCTAGTAGGAAAATAGTTGTTGTTTTTTTCTTGTAATAAAATACTACACAGGAGTTATTGCACAAAATAATGTGCATCAATGCAGACAAATCTTAAAAATAATACTAAATGAAACACCAATATAGAATAACTGCAAAAGAATAACTGATCATCAAGGAGAATCACCATCATACCTACAGATGCTATTTTTTCACATATATTTAATCACTAAAATTGCCAAGAAAAGCAGTGGCACACCAGTTAATTAATGTCAAAAATCTCCCTTTATATTTACACTTACCTATTACTTAAGTGAGGCAGACACACCAAAAAATAATTTACAGACCATGAAGGGTCCATCATTTCAGAGAATGTTTGTCTAAAAAGAAATTTCAGTTCTTACAATTCCTAACAGACTAACTATAAAAGACTGAGTATAGGTCATTACAGAACTGAATTAAAAAGGAGTTCCTAGTTTTATCTTTGGACCAATGGACAAAGACCTACCAAGACCAATCAGAACTACTCCATAATAACCAATCAGAATGCATAGTGCCAACCAAAAGGATTTTGAGATTTGGACAAATCAGAAGTTTAATTTGACTATCTCATTTACACAAAATGGACCTAATTGGATGAAAACTTTGGATGTAAAAGAACGCCTCCCCTTTCTCTGGGTGGAATACAATTGAAGTTAGTACCTAAGTCAGTGTCTCCAGAGCCGCAACTTCTTTTGCTCAAATTAATGCTTTTTATTCTTTATTATAAAGTTATTTTTAGTTTACAAAAATATTTTTTTTCTAAGTGGGCCTTTTTTTGTTATGAAAAATAAGGAAGTATAAGCATCATGTTTTCTTGTAAAAATTAAGCAGAAAGATAGCTTTATCCTCTAACAATAAATTAAACTATTAATTCTCTAAATTTTGTTTTATTTAGATGTTCAAGTCAAAATGTCACAGTCTATTTTTTCACAGAATTTATAAAAAGTCATTGTAAAGCCCAGCCTGTGGGTGGCTCAGTGGTTGAGAGTCGACCTATGAACCAGGAGGTCACAGTGAGATCCTTGGTCGGGCACACACCTGGGTTGCTGCCTTGCATACTATCCTTCTCCCCAAATAATCTCTCTCTGCTTCCTTCCTCCCCTGTCCCCCCAAAAAATTCAGAGGCAAAACACCTAAAAGGGAGGGCTCTTTGACTTGTGTCAAGAAAAAAATAATTGCATGAAAGATGTATGAAATCATTCAGCTGGGGAGGATAAGAAATTGACCTGTTCCTTCTTGCCTAGAGCACTATGGAGGATCTTCCCATAAGGATCACAGGACACACCTATGGCTCCAGAGGAAATGACAGCTGGTTGGACTGGCTTTCTGCTCGGAGGTTTCTACAGCTCTAGGAAGAGCTCCAAGTGAAGGTAGTAAGGAAGAAACTGGCTCTTCCAGCCTCGTACTAACCCCTCCCTCAAGGAGTAGACGTTTACAAGAGATCTTGCGATTCCTTGTTCAGCACAGCACCACCCAGCCCAGCTGTAAAGGAAAGGAACAGGAACTCATGTAAAATGCCCAAGGCAGAGGGAAAACCATCCCTGTGACTGGAGATTCAAGTGTGTAGATATAGCGGTGGGGCACAAAGGGCTTCACCTCAGAAAAGCACTTCTAGCATCATATTCCTTATAACAGTTATATGAAAAGTTTAATTAGTAAAGAAATTAGGTGAAAGCATTGGCCACAAAAAAATGTTCTTATTTGATACATCAAGGAATGTACTAAATATCATTTAGATGTTATTTGATTGGAGAGAATCTCAGTTCATAGAATCCACATTTTTATTTTAAATGTCAAATTGTAATATTTTTTTTAAATGTGCAATTACTATTTGCAACTCTGGTGAGGACCACAAGTAAAAATAAACAGTAAAGTCTGAAAATAACTTAATTACTTTCTCTTTTATGATTTAAGCATCACGGATGAGTAACTACCCTTACTGCTGTAATCAAAGAAGAAAAGAAAGGTTACAACAAGTAATCTGGCTGTGATGCAGCTATCAAGTTATTTTCTACCAATTTTAATGTTATTTCAATTCTCATTTTCAAGAACTCATGGTCATAATGGAATAACAAGCCTTTCAAGTTATGAAAACTAGCACATCTTATTTAAAACTTAAGCCAAATGTTTCTTATCTGAAGGTACTCTGATGGCTCCCAAAAGGATTTTGTTCTGGCAAAGATGCAATTTTAATGTGCAGACTCACAGCAGGCCCTTCTAAGGTTACTTTGTTTAAAATTAGCAAAATATTTTTAAAGATAACGGGTCATACCAAAATTAGTCTTCTTCTATGTTCTTGAGCTAGATCCCAATTCTTATACAGGCATACCTCATTTTATCGCACTTAGCTTTTTCTGCTCCACTGATGTTGCCTTTCTTTTACTTTTTCTTTTTACAAATTGAAGGCAACACTCTTCAGCAACAAAAAGGACTTGACTCACTCTATTGGGGTGGTCTGCAAATGAACCTGCAATATCCCTAAGGTATACCTCTATACACAAGTCAGATTCACTGGAATGAAATCCAGTTCACTATCCTTGGGATCCTAGGAAAATTAACCTCAGAAGACTCAGTTACCTTGTAAGAAAATGGACGAATATTACCTACTTCACAGGGCCATTGTGAGAATTAGGTAACCCATGGAAAATTATAAGCCAATGTAGCACCTAATAATGACACTGTTATTATTGATTTCCTAATAAATACCACACACTGCTATTGGCAGTAGGGATACCAAGGTAGACAAACAAATGAGGGCCTCTGTCCTCAAAGAGTGGCTGCTCTAATGGGAGTTACTGAAATTAACAGTCTTATGAATTGCCATGTTTTCTCTTGCAAATATTAAATCACCATGTTCTCTCTTGAAAATACAACCACCATTTCAGGCTGTAATTACCAAAGGTCCCAGAGAGCAAGGGCACAGAGTAGATGGGGGTGGGGAGCACGTGGGAGGGGGAATCTTGCAGAAATGCCAGCCTCCGGCCAGTGCAAGAAATCGGTAACAGCTTTCAGTATCGCATCAGTAACAGCCAAACTTGAACAGCCTCACAGCTCCCAGCAGAGAGACAAGTGTTAGCTCTAAGTGAAAAAAATATTCCACCGCAACACTAGAGGAAAACCACGACTATTTTAGGTGTCAGCTTTGAGAAACAGATAAAAGCTCTCTCTGCTGTAAGTCGGCTCATCTCAGACTCCGCAATTACCTCATGCTACCGATGACCGACGCTCTGGTCAGGCCCCTCTTCAGAGTTCCCATCTCTAGTGGACCTGGTTTCATACTGTACTGTTACCATCATTTTACATCTGTCTCCCACACCACACTTCAAACTCCATTATTCCTCTATATTGTTAAAAAAAGAAAACAACAGGCTCAAAATGGAGTCACCCGTGCTAAGCTCCACAAAACCTAACCCAACAGCACTTTCAGTCTCTCCCTGGAATGAAACCTTTAGCTGGATAATATAGAATTATCTGTGCAGCACTAGTAAGGCAATCTGTAAGACAGCCCCGACTTCACTCCCCAAGGAACGTGACCTTGCCTGAAACAATCCATTCTTTGCTAGAATATCGTCCTCGCCCTGCCTCCATCTGCCTAGAGAAGTCTTCCATTGTGTACAGCTCCTCAGAGCTCCTTTCTATTTGCTAGATGGGATGCTGCCCGATTCATTAATCACTGAGCAAAGCCAATTAGATCTTCAAATTTACTTGGCTGAATTTTGTTTTTAAATACCACCTCCTTCGCACCTAGCACAGTGACCAAGAGTACCAAGTAGGTACTCATTAGATGTCTGTTGAATTATTAATTCATGCCAAGCATTGTACCAGGAAGCAGAAGTACAAACATTAGAAACATGGCTCCTGCCAAAGAACAAATAATTCAGTAGGGAGACAGAGTCAGCAATTCAAATATGAAAATAGCACTCATGCCCTGACTGGTTTGGCTCAGTGGATAGAACGTCAGCCTGCGGACTCAAGGGTCCCGGGTTCGATTCCGGTCAAGGGCATGTACCTTGGTTGCGGGCACATCCCCAGTGGGGGGTGTACAGGAGGCAGCTGATCGATGTTTCTCTCTCATCGATGTTTCTAACTCTCTATCCCTCTCCCTTCCTCTCTGTAAAAAATCAATAAAATATATTTAAAAAAAGAAAAGAAAAGAGCACTCATGGAATAATGCAATCCCAGGTGCGGAGGAAAGGTCTGGGAAGGAATAGCTAGATAAAATAAAGAGATGAAGTGGGCGAAAGCGAAAGAGTTCCAGGCAGTTAGTTATGAGTTGGAAACAGACTCTGGGGAATAGTGTTCAAGAGAGATGGCATAACGAAAAAAGTTTTAAAAGAGAAGAAAAGGTTAAATAGGTAAAATAACAGAAGTCAAATTTAGGAAAAATTAAACACTGAAAATGTAATTGTTTAAAATAATTAAATTCCTCCAACTTGAATACACTTACAATTTATCATGAAAGTTCTTACCTCCCTGAAATTCCTTTTGTTGACCCTGGAATCTCTGGTACGGGCCGATGTCTTAGCAGAAAAGATCGAGATGGCCTTGAAACCAACTTGCTACGGCTTCTCATAGGTGTTAGGAACGGCGATGACGGAACATACAAATCATTTATAACCATTTGTCCTTGAAAGTTAAAGAGAGGGGATGGTGGTGATCTTTCTAATAAACCATTCGTTCCATGTCCAGAATTGGCTTCTGAAACTGAACAGCCAAGGGAAGGAAGGCGGTCAGGGTCTACATTTGGAAGCTTGTTCACATCTTCTGAGTTCAAATCGACTTTTTCTGTTGGTTGTTCTTTAGTTGTACAATCCACAGTCTCCTTTGCAATCAAAGATTCTATTGGAAGATTTTCACTACCCAACAAAGAATCTTGAAAGGAACCGAATTTCAGATGGTGTCCTTCTCCATGAATGGGAAAGCTGTGTTTAGGAAGAGAGAGCTCATCATCTGATTTAAGACACTGGCTATTTTCCACACCAGTGTCACTTGGATCGAGATTTTTTGTAACAGTCTCCAACTGCGCTGGGCTAGGTGTCTGAATGCCAGATGAATCTGACAGTTCTGTGCAGGTATCCTGGCCAGAAGATGGAGCGGGGTGACCCTTTGAAGTCTCATCATTCTTCTTTATTTTATGAATATTTGCATATATTGGGATATCTTGCATTTTTGACAAGATTATCTGTAACTGTTTAATGATCCTCCTCCGGTGTCCTGTCGGAGATATTCCAATTTTGTGTAGCACGCTGTCATCTATGGCTGCACAGTCCTTCACGGTATTAAAACCAAACTCACGGAAATGTGAGACATACTGCTCCAAATTAATGCTCATTAGGAAATCTTTGATGTCGACATTTACTTCACTGACTGAGGACATAATGGTGGCTTCATCACTAAGCTGCTTTATAAAAAGCAGTACAGTGAGGCACACACACAGGAGGGTGCGCTTCTGTATTGGCTCCTCCTCTCTCACCGGCAACAGAAAAATGTCTCAAAATGGTATTTTCTCCATAGTGAGTGCTTTATGTGCTCCGGCCTAGAAAAACAAATTAATTTATTAGGAAATTTTAGTAATCAGAACCTAGTTTTTCATGATAAACTATAACATTATTTTTAGAATTACTTTCACCCACTGAGAGTTTGGAATCTGTGCATTACTGTGATGCCCTGGAAAGTCAACTCCTAGGTAGAGCATGCAGGGACAGGACAAAAATGCTGTGCTGGCATCAAATAATGATTTTCAACAAGGCAAAATGACTCTCACAGGACTATAAAATGAACTTGTGTCAAAAATGTTATTCGACTTGTTTATAAAGGAACCAATAAGATGGTAAAGTTAGCTCCAAGATCATTTGTGGAACAGGCTCACAGTTCCATCAGAAAAAGCGCTCTCTTCTCTCTCTCTCTCTCTCTCTCTCTCTCTCTCTCTCTCTCTCTCTTTCTCTCTCTCTCTCCCTCTCTCTCTCTCTGTCTCTCTCTCTCTCTCAGTGTTAGAGTAAGACTGGCAGGTTACTTAAAACAAACTGGTTAATGTCTTCCAGGGTAATAAAATCACAGGCTTTAGAGCTATCTATCTACTGGAGAAAAATCTGTAAGTGAATAGGTAGCTTGCCAGTCCTGGGCTTTCACCCAATAATAAATAGAAAGTGAAACACAAGAATTAGAATTCATATCCTGCGGGTGGGCTGATTAAACAGTACCCCCAACAAGGCATTGAAAGAATAATGCTGTATATTTCTTTGATTACCAAGTTTTAGATAATTTCTCTTAACAGCAACCAGGTATGAACAACTTCCTCCTTTACTACACTTTCTTCAAAGACTTTCTGAACAAGCACAGTTAGAACGTATTTCTCAGGTCAATAATTTTCATTTCAAAAAAGCATCAGCATTTATGTACAACACTGACATGTGAGAAAAGACTAGTTGAATGATTAGTTACTTCTTAAATCAGTATATAACAGGAAGTAAGTAGATATGAAAGTAAAAGGAAAACGTTTAAAGGTCACATTTTCCTTTATACACAGCAGATTCGCATGGCTTCATTTTTCTCCCAAATGACATCAATAAACTTTTCCAAAAGTCTAGTGACCTAGGTTCTGTTTCTATAGCTATGTTCACTTTGTGAAAATGCATATGTGCAAATTTCTGAATATTACAGTTTAATAAAAAGAAAAAAATCCGAATACACATAACACCCATATAACGAAGGAGTAAAATGAGACACACCCAAAAAAGGGAAATTTATCTGAACAAGTGTTAATGCAATGTTTCTGGAGCTCATACCTCAAAATAGCTCTCCAAAAGGCACCTCTCAGACACTGCATGTCTTACATGCCAACAACCCAGAAACTATTGCCCCAACTATTTAAAATATCAGCAAATATTGACAAGCAGGTATCGGATAAGAGGCCAAGTACATATATTTAGGCAGCACTGCAGGAGCAGAAAAATAAAAAAACGATGAGATGAAAGGCAGGAAATGCCTTTATCAGTAAGATATCCCTCTATCACACTCAAAATGACAAAATGTCAGTAAAAAAAAGTAGAAAGTTTAACCTCAACACCACATACAAACCTAGATCTCTGATATGCCACTCTTGTTATACACGATTATTTTGTAAATGAACCTGTTTTCCAATTTTCTGGCATGTCACAAAATGGGAATCATTATTGCCAAATCTGCTGGCACCTTGATGTTGGGCTTCCCATCCTCCTGAACCATGAGAAAATAAATGTCTGTTTTTTTAAGCCAGGCAGTCTATGGTTATTTTGTTATAGCAGCCAGAACTGACTAATACACTCTTCCATCCTCACTGCCTTTGCCCTGGTTCAGACCTTCATTACAATATTTCTTGCCTGGATTACTGCAATCCTCTGAACAAATCCCTCAGCCCAGTCTCCATGTAGCTGTGAAATCCAAATTTGGTATATAAAGCCACATCCTCAACAGGATAAAGTCTAAGTTTCTTATGGTGCTATAAACACGGCCCGGTCTTGGTCTAACAACAATAATAACAGTACTAGTGATGTAAACAGCAATTATGTGCCAAACAACATACCTCATATATAGTTCCTGCAACGTAGGCGTTCCTATGTACTCACTCCAGGCTCAAGTTCAACCTGTGCCAAACATTCTACCCACATCCTTCACGCACTTTAGCTCACTGTTAATTATTGTTCCCAAGGCAAACAACTGTTTGATAGCCCCATACCTCTTTCATATGCTATATCTACACCTGCAAATCTACACATTTTGGAAAGTTCTATGCACTATTTAAAATTCTGAATAGGCAGGTATTACCTCCTCTGCGAAGGCTTCCTATTGACCTTAAATAGAATAGCTCCTTCTTCAATATATAAGTAGGATCCTTCAAGTGCTTGGAACATGTTTAAGAGATGAGAGGTTGACGGGGATGGCAGAATTGCTTGAGTCCATTTCGTTAGTTTTTTGGTGTGTAAGTGTTTTAATACACTTTCCTTCTTGCAGTATGTACATATACTTCCTCCATGGCAGACTCAGGGATGGATACAGCAAATATTCTACCCAAAACACCTTTCTCCACTCTCGGTCAACATGCTGAATATGGCTAGTGAACCCGATTCCCTCTCCTGGCCCAGAAGAGGCTCCCTCCCAAAGGCCCCACAATCCTGTGAACTTTAATATCAGCTCATCTTCCAATCACCTGACTCCTTAGCTGTCTTACCACCCAAGGATGTTCACAGAACCACTTCTTTTTTTGGAGGCTTCTGAAAGCCCATATGCACTCATCAGAGGCAAAGAGATGGACATGCCTAACTATAAATGTCGCCTTAATATGAAATCGAAGGCTTCCATGTTCTGACCTCCACTTGGGCACAATGGCAAGTGTGCCATCCTCTAGGATGGGGCTCAGCAGGTGCTGGTCTGTGGATCTGCTGTACAGCAACAAGTGCTAATAACAGGCCCGGGAATCTGAATTTGATGACCAGGATGTGCAACAAAATCTGGTAATTACAGTTTTAAATTCCTCATGCTCCCCAATGTGCCTTATGCCATCTCACCTGAGACGAAGCTCATCACTCTCCTCTCCTAGGATGGAACCAACCCCCTAACACTCTGCCCAGAAGTCTGGAGTCCAACTCAAATCCCACCTCCCCCATTTTCTACCAGTGATAACACAGGCACATATGTGTATGTCAGTTTCTTTAACCATAAAATGGAAACACTCAAAAGTACCTCAGCACTGGTAAAGATTAAATGAGATAATCCCTCTGTAAGTGTTAAAATAGTGCTTAGTATATGACAGCAATTTTCAACCGGTGTGCCACAAGAATTCTTAAAGCATGCAATAACTGACTATTTAGTCATGGGCACTGACCTCTTTTCTCTTAGACCCGTGGTTGGCAAACTGCGGCTCGCGAGCCACATGTGGCTCTTTGGCCCCTTGAGTGTGGCTCTTCCACAAAACACCACGTGCGGGCGTGCATGTACAGTAAAGATTGAAACTCCATGGCCCATGCGCAGAAGTCGGTTTTTGTGGAAGAGCCACACTCAAGGGGCCAAAGAGCCGCATGTGGCTTGCGAGTCACAGTTTGCTGACCACTACCTTACACTATCAAATAAAAAAATGACAACAGTGAACACAATAGCCATCTAGTGTGAATGCCCTGTCTTGAACCATAAGTATATAGGTCATTTAATAGAGTTCCATTTTACTGGTCACATCACATAACAAGGTTGCATGTGATTGGTTAATTCTTGGTACCAGAAATCCTTATATTCAAGTATAGGCAATTGACTCCTTTTAATCTCACAAGGACCCTGTGAGATTGGTGTGGTTATAAAAGACAGGCCATACAAAGGGAGGCGTCCCACTAAGCCCGCAACCCTGGGATGTGCCCTTGACCAGAATAGAACCCGGGACCCTTTAGTCCACAGGCCCATGCTCTATTCACGGAACCAAACCAGCTAGGGCGGCAACTGACTTTTTAAAAGGTCACTATGGAGAAAAAAGGGTAGGTAATTACTATTATTATTATTTTTATAAATCAATCAAAAGAATACCTACACTTTGTCAGATCAGAAAAAAAAAAGGTTTTTTTGGTATGCCGCAGAATTTTAGTAATTACTATACCTGTAACATGAGATGAAAAAGGTTGAAAATTGCTGGCATATGGTAAGTGCTTAGCAAACATTCATTTCCATCATTATAATTATTTCTTTTCATCACTACAGTCATTATCTTCCCACAACTGAAATCTTTCCCATTCTTTGAAGTCTAACTCAAATGCTATTTCTTTCACAAGGTTTCTACCGAACAAGAAATAAACCCTCTTCTTTATATTCCCACAGCATTTACTTCAGAGGATTAAATTATATTTTAGTCTTTTAATAGTAACCTACAGAAGTGGGATAATACAAAAGCCAAGATGTTGGAACTGAAAAACCTGGGTCAAATCCCAGTTTCTCCAGTTTTAAGTTTTGTGAACTGGAACAAGTATTTGACTTCTCTGTGCCTCGGTTTCCTCATCAGGAAAGTGAGAATAATAATAGTTCTATTTCACAGGGCTGTCGTAAAGGATTTCCAACACCAACTGCACACAACAAATGCTAAGTAACTGTTTGCAGTTGTAATTACTTTTTCTTAGCCTATTATAAACTAATAACTCCTCCAAGATGATGACCAGCCCTTAAAAACTGCCCAATAAATTCCAGTCAAATTACTTGTTTATAAACTTAGTGCATGATGTACATGTATAACATGTTTAGAGATTATACAAAGAGTTGGCATGGCAGATGTGGTTGTGCATTCGCCCATCCTATCCTGAGTAGAAGGGAAATAGCATTCAGGAGCACCTGCTACATGCCTGGCTTGCAACATCACTAATAAACATGAGCTTATTACCTTACTGAGCTCTACCTCAGAACTATATCCCGAACCAGCTACTTCTCACCACCTGCCCTGCTCACATCCTAGTCCACACCATTATCTTCTCTATCTCATACCATTGCAATAGCCTCCTGGCTGATAGCCCTGATTCTATCCTGGTCTCC